TTCCGCTGGCGATCGAGAAGTTGCCGGACTGATCGAACAGCGCATTGATCACGTTCGTGTTCGTCCTGTGGGCCAAGGAACACAGACTGTAAGTCGGCGGCCCATGAAGTAAAAAACAACTGCGCGAGAGAAAAAGCGTACCCGTTCTTGTACATGCGACCGGAGTTGGCAAAGTACAGCGAGGTGCCTCCGATCCAGTTCAGCGAGCCACCGGGCACGAAGTAGAACTGGCCCGAGCTGACAATCGAACCACCGCTCGTACCGGCAATGTCACCCTGGTAAGAGAGAAGAATGGGTGAGTAACCCAAGTGGCGTGTGCGGTTGCGAGGTTAGCGTAACGTACAGCGATCCAGGAGGCGGTGCCCGCAACATTGATGCGACGAGAGTCGAGCGACTTGACAGTGGGGGTGTCGATGACCAGGCCACCGGAGCACTGCATGACGCTCGGGCCACCAGCGATCTTGCCGCCCAGCCACTGCGTCTGCTTCGACACCACGATCTGACCGCTGCCGTCCAGCCGACCCGCGTCCTGGAGCGTCAGCGCGCCCTTGATGCTGGCGTAGGCGTTGAAGATCACTGCTCATAGCAAACATGCATGTGTGTTGTTAGTCATAAAGGCAAATATGTGGGTGTGTGTGTAGGACGTCAAGGAACGAACCTGATCCGGTGGAAATGATGTTGAGCTGGCCGGAGAAGACGATGTTCTGGAAGGTGGTGAGGCTGCCACCCGAACACGTGGTGTTGGGCAGGATCACGCCGAGGCTGCTCACGCTGAGCACGCCAGAGCTGATGGCGACGGTGGCGCCGAGGCTCTGGATGGACGACAGCGAGCTGAGGTAGACCTGGCCGCCGGCGACGATGGTCTGGCCCAGCATGTTGACCTGCGACACGATCGTCGTGCTGCCGCCCGTGAACGACAAGGTGCCGTTGCCCTGGAGCACGCTGCCCTGGTCGAGGCTGGTGGTGCCCGCCGTAAATTCCAGCGCGGAGCGCACGGTGAAGGTGCCCGTCGACGAGCCACCACCGCTGAGAGACAAGGTGCCGGCGAAGGCGTTGACGGTTCCCGTGTTGCTGTGGTCAACACGCACCCCCGGAGAAAGTCAGGCATTGCTTGACAACGACGACGAATAATTAAGAAGTGGGAGAGGGTGGTAATGAACCTGAGCACGGCGGCGATGACGGAGATGTCGGTGCTGTTGACCTTGGTCAAGGTGCCGGTGTTGACGATGGTCCACGCCGAGCCCAGAAGGTTACCGTCGGTGATGAGGCTGATGGTGGCGTTGTTGGAGTTACGGATCTGCGCAGCGCCCGATCCCGTCAGCGTGCCGGACACCGTGAGGTAGCCGTAGTTGTTGAACTGGTGGCCGTTGGAGATCGTCGAGCCGGCGCCCGTGACCACGGTGTTGTAGGCAACGATCGTGCCACCGCCCAAGTTGCCGCCTGTCGTATGGTAGTGCGGTAAATTCAATAAAAGATGGCAAGATGAGCTGACGTAAGAGGTCCTCATTTGGGAGGGTTAAGGAGTAGGGACCACGCACCTTGCCAACGGAAGGTGCCGGTGACAGTGGTGAGACCAGAGCCGGAGAGCACGGCGCCCGAGGCCATGGTGAAGCCGGCGTTGAGGTTGAGACGAATGCCAGCCTTGACCGAGATGCCGGCCTGCATGAAGAGATCACCGGGAATCGTGACGTCGGCGTTGAAGAAGTGGGTGCCGCCGGTGATGTTGAGCGCGTCGGGGAAGCGCATGGCGGTGTTGAGCACCAGGCTGCCGCCGAGGAGCGAGGTGTCGGGCAGCTGCACGGAGAGCGCGTTCACGGTGAGCGTGCCGGTGCCCTGCACGATGAGCTTCGAGCCGAGTGACGCGATCGACGCCGAGGCAGCGAGCGTGTGGCTGCCGCCCTGGACCGTGGTGACGCCGAGCACGTTGTAGCTGGCGCTGATGGTCGAGGTACCAGCGCTGAAGTTCACCGAACCCGCACCCGCGATGGACGAACCGGCATTGAACTGGGCGTTGCCGCCGGCGATCTGCAGCGCAGCCGGGGACGCTACGTTGACGGGACCGCTGAAGACACCACCGCCCTGCAGGGACAGGACACCGTTGGCGACGTTGATGGTGCCCGTACTGGTGAAGGCCGGTGCGAGCGACACCGTGATGGCGTCGGGGAGGACCATGGATCCCACGTTGTTCAGCGACCAGCTCGAGCCCGAGAGCAGCGCGCCCGTCTGCAGCACCATGGTGCCGGAGTTCTTGAACGTCGCCGAGCCGCTGCCGGCCAAGGCGCCGGAGATGGTGCAGTTGCCGTTCGAGTTAAGGTTACCGCCGGTGATCATCGAGCTGCGCACGATCGTGAACGACTGCTGCACGTCGATCCTGGTCACGGAGATGGTGCTGCCGCCGAGCGTGAGGTCGTTGACGAAGGTGGCGATACCGCTTCCGGTGAACACGCCGCCGTTGAGGCTGTTGTTGAAGCCCGTGGCCTGAAAGACGTTGCTGATGGTGATCGTGCCGCCCGTCTGGCTGAACGAGTCCGTGACCTGGACGGTGCCGGCGAGCGTGAGCGCACCGCCGGCGACGCTGAGCTTGCTCAGAGTCAACGAGTCCGCCGAGCCGAACAGGTTGAGCTGGGCTGAAGCGCCCGATACGAGGACTTGCGAGCCGAGTTTGGTGATCGACGTGCCGATGCCGATGTTGAGCGGCGCAGACACCACCGCCAAACCGGCGTTGTCCAGCTGAGAGTATCTGTTGTTCGAGAAGACCGAGACAGAGACAGATTAGAACGGGAACGCATGTGAGGGGAGGAGTGGGGGTGGTCGACGTACTGGTAGTATACATTGCCTCCGGTGTAGTACATCGTTCCGCTGCTCACCACGTTGGCGCCCACGTTGACGGTGTGTGTGGCCACGCCGGCAAAATTGATCGCTCCCGTAGTCGCGATGGTGATAGGCGCCCACGAGTCGCTGCCGCCGGAAACGGTGAGGTTGCCCTGGAGGATGTTGAGCTTGCCCCTGTGGCTCATGTAGGCCGACACACGGGCCACGCTGCTCGTGCTGGGAAGCGAGATGTTGAGCGTGCCGTTGTTGGCAAAGAGGGCCGTCGTGCTCGCCGAGCTGAGATCGACCGCGTTGGTGATCACGAACTCGCTCTGCGTGTTGGAAGAAGAAAAAATGAGAAAGGAGAGTCCAACGAGGAGCGAGATGTGCGCAGTGGGAGGAGTGCGGTAAGAAAGTGTACCGCCGGAGAGTTCATGAAGGTTGAGCTGGCGCTCAAGACCAGGTTACCGTTCTTCCACAGGCCACCGCCGTTGGCGCTGAGGGTGCTGCCGGTGCCGAGAGTGCGGCCGGGGCAGGTGGTGCAGTCCAGTGTGAGAAGACCGTTGATGTTGGTAGTGCTGGTCACGCTCAGCTGACCGCCGCCCCACAAGAGAGGGCCATTGACCTGTACGCCAGCGTGGTGGAGGTGGTCTCAGGGTGAGTAACGCGAGTTTTATTTCGGGCGGGTTGTGGGGGTTGTGGGGGGGGGTTGGGGGCGTACAATGAGCTGGCCAGGGCCGTAGATGTTCGACGCAGCAGTACCATTGTAGATCAACGATGCCACAATCAACGAGCAGGGCCTGTTCACAGATTGAGCGCCGTCGAGTGTATTAGATTTTTCAATTGAAACGAATCGAGCGCGCAATTCAAATTCAGATCGAGGCTGAACTTTGATTGCTCTGCGCTGGTGGGGCACGTACGCGGTGATGCGGAGGCCGCCGGCAGTGATCGTGAGCGACTTGGCTTCGAGGCTCGCTCCGTTGATGTCGATTGTGACTCCGGTGGTGGCGAGGAGAACATCGTCGTCGGCAGTGGGCGCGGTGCCTGTGTTCCAGTTGGAGTTTTCGGTCCAGGCTCCCAGGTTGGGCCCTTGCCAGGTGACCGTGGCCGCCGCTGCCGGCTGCTGGGCCGCGATGGCCAAGACCACGATCAGACACGCCAAGAGTACGTGACCGAACTGTTGTGCGCGACCTGTATGATACGAACCACCGGTCGAGAACAAGTCACTGTGAGCTTGTACACCAGTTGAGCCGATGGCGGAACAAGTTCACGATCACAACATTAAACGTGAACATACACACGCCATCGCGATATAGTACATATGAATTTCAGGTAAAGTGCCACTGGCATGTGATCACCGTTTTCATACATACGGTATTAGGTGAAGGGATCAAAAAAGCGGGAAAAGGCAAAGAAACCCCACACGGCGAATAAAAGCTGCGCTGGCGCGATTGGAGGGAATGCGGTAGCCCATAATTGAAATAAAAGGCCATCTCCTGGGCACCGGTTGGCGTGCTCGCCAGGGAAAGATGTTGCACCCGTCGGGCGGGACAACGAGACGGAGAAGAAAGGGAGGGGAGGTGGAGACAAGAAGGACCACGGAAAAGAACTGATCGTGTGCTATGGTGAAATGATAGAAGAAGAAAAAGAAGAAAAATATGAATGGATGGTGGGTTGCGTACCCATCTTGATGGAGCTGTTTTCACTACGCTTGAACGCACTAGAAGCTGGCGGGATGGTTTCCAGTGGACTCGGTTGGTAGTACAACTACGGCCAAGGGGGTAACTTTGGTCGTAGCAGCTCGCGATGGTGGCGGCGGGGGTGGTATGAACCGTAGGCCGCGAAAGTTTGAACAAAGAACCGTAGTACGTCGCCTCGGCTTTTTGGGCGTGTTCGCCGTCGCGAAGGCCGAGCTTACTCCGGAATCGACGCCCATTGGCCATATCTCTCGGTGTTAAGAAAAACGCACCAACCGCGCAACTTTCATTTGGCTGCGCCAATGGGCGATAGGGAGATAATTTTATTGTGAACACACAACGGGAGCACAACAGCCAGAACATTTTTTCCCACCTCGCGGACGGTTGGTTTCCAACCTACTCCAGTTCCTACGTCTCTCTTGTGCCTTGCGGCTTGTTCTGCTTTTCAAACTGGCCTTGGACACACATCGAACCTTGATCACCACCATCGTCATGAGGGCGGCCACAAAATTTATCAGCTCGGCTCTTCTTTTGGCGCTCGCACTGGCGGTGGGGACTGCCTGGGCCGACACGGAACCACGGCAGTACTTCACCGCGTCCCTCACCATCACTACCACCCAAGACGAAATTGAAAACCGGCCCGACACCACATCCTCCGGCGTCCTCTACTACGACTCGACCTACCCCGGCGTCCGCTTTGAGGCGCACACCACCCCCGACCGCGCCGGCGATGGTATCCCCTCCCACAACCCTCTTACTTCCCCCCTCCCCCCGTTGTACCCAACATCCATCGCGCACTCCCGTACTACCCGCGGGATCCAAGCACAAAATTAACAGGGCCATGGTTGGTCGGGCTTGTGTTTTGTAAATACCCGCACTGAGCGTTCTGCTGAACTTTTGATGTGTGTGTGTGGTGCGCTAATCCGTGCTAACCCCCCCCCCGCAAACAACAGACCCTGACTGGGTTCACATATGGAACTACAAAGCGGTGCGTTCATTTGGGCAGCTTCCCTTTCTTCTCACACCCGTGGCTGTCTGCCTCACACTCCTTTCTCAACAACCATCGCACTGCTATGTTCGATACTACAGGGAACCAAGTACATCTTGTTGAAGGAGAGGGGAGGTGTGGAATGCCTCAACCAGACCGGCACGACCGCGTTGCAGAAGATTGTGTGTCCCACCTATCAGTCCTGCGGCACCTACTGCCAACAGGACTGCATGTCTTACAGCTGCGCCTCCACCTACACGTCAGTCACTCGCCGCACGTACACGTCTTCCACTCTCTTTGATGTGTTGACGTTCTCCTTCTTCATTGTCGCTGGCTACTGACTCAGGCCTCCACCATTGGTATGCGCACACAGGTGCTACTACAATGGCGACGGGACTGTGGCGAGGATAGACTTTGAAGACGGTAAGCGACTGCAGCTCCCACTTCCTTGCAACTCTCTCCACGAGTCGTGGGTGGGTTGTTGCTCACCACACGCACTCACTTCATGCTGCGCGTGGCCATGCAGGCAATTACTACTACTCCAACTGGAACTACTACTGGAACCGCCAACGGCTCACAACGTGGACCTTGTCCAACTACGACCTCACTAAACCCTCATCCGCCCTCTTTGGCCCTGGCTTCCCGTGCGCGCCCAGCGGCATCTCGGATTCCGTGTAGTGTAAAACCGTCTCAAATCGGACCAATTTTGATGATGATGATGATGTGTTGCGGCTTACCCCCAGCGTTTTATCGTAGAGTAAAATCAGATCTCAGCGAATCTATGTGGTGCACCAATTCACTTCTTTGATGGCCCATCAATTAACGGCAAGCGCCGAAAGATGTGGTTTTTCGCGCGGGGACGGCAACGTGATCACTCCTTTTTCCTTCACCTTGGTTTCCTTCATCTTTTCCTGGCCTGCTCTTCTGCGTTGGACTTTGTCGTTGCGGGTGGTCCACCAGACGACCTCCACCACAACAACAACGCCATGGAGCACGCTGCTGCTGCAACAACTACGACGACGGCAGGGAACACGACGGCCCCCATCTACCACCAGGTCGCCGATGATGGCGTGTGCGGCTTCACGCCAGCCTCGGTCGGGCTCATGCTGGCGAGCGCCCTACTCTTCACGGTGGTCTACAACGCGAGCTCGTTCGTCTTCTTCAGGCTGAGCGCCACCTACCGCCACCTGCCGGCCAAGCTGCAGCTGCGATGGGACAACCGCGTAGCGTCGACCCTCCACGCGCTCATCATCGTGCCTGGCTGCCTTCACGCCTTCTTCTTCGCCTACGACACCCAGAACCTTACGCCCCACACGGCCATCCTCGGCTGCAACAGCGGTTCGCCCCCCCCCCCAAAATTCGAAGCTAATTCCGAATGCCGATTAGATGGAGATGAGATCCTGCAAGTGCTTTTTAATTGATCAATTGATGATGCAGAGGCGATGGTGTGGGCGTGTGTCAGTGCGGGCTACTTCACGTGGGACTCGCTAACCTACTTGCTCTACGTGGCGGCTCGCCGGACCGATGACGTCGAAGTGGGCGAGTTCGTCCATGCCTTCGTACCATTTCCCCCTCTTCTTCGTTCTTTTGGCCGGTGTGTTTGTGTGGGCTCTAACCTTTGAACAACAACGTTTGGGTGGGGCAGGTCTGTTGGCTCGCGTATCTCCTCACCATGGTACGACCACGCCGCTCCCTCATCATCATCAAGTTGCGTGTTGTGTGTGTGTGTGTGTGTACGCCAAGCCAAACACAATCACGTATTCACGCGCCCGCCCTTTCTTCCGCGCGGGTGTGCTGTGCAGAGCCCCTTTGTACAGTACTACGCCATGTTCTTCCTCGCCTACGAGCTCTCCACGCCCTTCGTCAACTTCCACTGTACGCCTCCCACTCGCGCTGTAACTCTACTGCAATCGAGAACTGAACTGTGTGTGGTGTGTGCGGTGTGATGAACGTAAAGGGTTCATGGACAAGTACCTGGTGCCCAACAGCAACCCGATCAAGCTGCTCAACGGCATCCTGCTGGTGGTGTGCTTCTTCCTGGCGCGCATCGCCTTCGGGTTCTACTACTCGTACGCCATCGTGCGCGACCTCTACATCGTGGCGGCCGACAACATCGCCGCCCACGGGCCGTGGTCGCTCAACGTGAGCGCTGTGACCATCTCGCTCATCATCCTCACCATGTGCGTCCTCAACAGCCACTGGTTCTTCCTCATCATCAGCTTCGTCCAGAAGAAGCCCCGGACCACCAAGAAGAAGGAGTAGTAGTGCCTCGGTACATTCTTTTCTATCCGAATAAATATTTAATTGTGTTATTTTTTATTGTTGTGTACGCACACCTTCGCGAGAGTGTTCTTCTTCGGCAGCCAGTGGTGGCCGTGGTGCTCTTTGGGTTGTGAGTGAGTGAGTGCGGTAGGTTGCCACACTACCCAGAGCCTCTCGAAGGAAGTGAAAGGGGCCTATCCCCTTTGCACACGGCACGCCGAACATGGCCGCCACAGCAGCGCGAGAGAGAGATAGAGACGCATATCTGTACACTGCACGGGGAGAGAGCACCGTAAGCAAAAAGTGGGATATGTGGTGCATAAGGGGGGGGGGGTTGAGAGCCTGACGCACCTTTGCAACGCACGAGTCGCGCATTCATTCGGTGGCCCCCGGCTTACGGGGTCACGGAAGCGGCGGGAGCCACTTTTTCTTCGTGGGTGGCGAGTGCACCGCTTTCGGAGGGCACCGAGGGGTCGGGGTCGTTGTCGGAGGAGGAGGGGAGGACCACCCACTCGTCGGACTGGCGCTCGTCGTGGTTGCCGCCGAGGTCGGCGGTGGCGGTGATGTCCATCTCGCCGGTGAGGGCGAAGGCCACGGTCAGGGCCTGCTGTGACTTGCCGCGCACCACGGGCACGTAGGCCAGAGCAACCAGCGTGGCCGCCACGACCACCACCCCCACCAGCATGGCCCATGTGCGCTTCGTCAACATGTTTGTGTTATGAGTGACTCTTTTGGTGGTGCAGGCGTGGGTGGTGTGGTTGTGTGTGTGTCGGTGCCAAAGTAAAGTCTGGTCTTGTGGTTTGGTGGCCGGCCTTTTGATAGTCAGCGAAGAGTGGTGCGGTGTCACGGTGGGCGAGATACACCAACGCACGGCAAGAAACTGGAAGAAACGCACGTTTTATTTCGGCCCGAAGAAAGTGGTCTGAATTGCCCATTGGTGGACCAGACCCATGAAATGCCGATCCGCACCATTTGGCGCCGAGTTCCGCCCATTGGAGATTATTGTGGCATAAACTCCCCTCTCGGTACTTTTCCCTCCCCAACGGCAGATTTCCAGCAGCTCAATCTCCAATTTATATTCGGCAAATAAAGTAAAGTACAGCGGGGCTCACGACGAAGCTCAGAGGGCCTCGTCTTGGAGCTCGCCGTTGAGGTACATGAGGACGTCGTCCATGGTGGGTCGCTTGTGCGGCTTCTGGTGCCAACACCGCCGCATGACCTCGGCGAACTTGGGCGGACAATCGGCGGGCACGGCCGGGCGCTTGCCCTGAAGGACATCCATCGCGACGCTCATCATGTTGCCCTCCTCGTAGGGCACACGCCTCGTCAGCACCTCCCACATCACCACTCCGAAGCTGTACACGTCCGCCTTCTCCGTGTGCCGCCCCTTAGTCTCCGCCTTCTCACCATCGCCGTCATCGTCGCCGTCGTCGTCGCCGGTCTTCTTGGCGAGCGTCGGGTCGAGTACCTCGGGCGCGGTCCACGATGGTGTGCCGCAGCGGGTCATGGTGCCGTTGTCCTGCTTGGCCGTGGCGAAGCCAAAGTCGCCCACCTTGACGCTCATGTTGTCGTCGACGAGCAGGTTCGATGACTTGATGTCGCGGTGCACGATGCCCTTGGAGTGGAGGAAGGCGATGCCCACGGCGGCGTCGCGCAGCATGGCCAGCCGCTTGCGCCACTTGAGGCCGACTGACGCGTTGGAAAGCAGCGCGCGCAGGCTGCCGCGCGGCACGAGCTCCATGACCAGCAGCAGGTTGCCGTCGGCCACGGAGAGGCCCATGAGCTTGACGATGCGCGGGTGGTCGATGCCCGACAGAATGGCGGCCTCCTTGCGCATCTTGCGCATGCCGTCGTCGTCCAGGCGGCTGTTGAAAAGCCGCTTGACCGCCACCTTGCGCCCGTGGTAGACGCCCTCCATCACCATGCCGAACGTGCCCTCGCCGATGCGGTCGCCGATCTCCACCGTGCGCGTGTTGATGATCCACGGACACATATTCGACGAACACACGCCGGCCTCGCGGTCGCGTCGCTCGTCCGCCTGGCTCCGCCGGCGGTGCTGCTCGTCGTCGTCACTGTCGTCGTCGTCGTCGCTGGAGTGGTGATCGTCGTCATCGTGGATGGCGCTGCCACCAGCGCTCTCCTCTTCGCCCTCACGCGCCATGATGAGGAGCGAGCCGTCCCTGCCGCGCGGGGCGAATACCACGCCGCTGGCGCCCGGCTGGCGGCTAAAGTGCTCGCGGAAGGCTGGCGAGCACACGACGGCTCGGGGTGCGCAGGCGGTGTTGAGCCGCAGCACGTCTTCGTAGTCCCGCGGCTCGTAGGTGGTCCGCGTGCGGTCCTCGGCCGGCGCCATGCTCAGCCCCGCGCGGAAGGCCACGCTCACCCGCGAGTGCTCCCCGAGCAGCGGGTGGGCGCCGCCGGCCTCCTGACTAGTATTGGACGCGATGTCGCCCTGCAGACCCAGCGCAAAGGCCGCCGCGGCCGAGGGTTTGCCAAAGGCCAGCATGAAGGTGCCGCCGCTGTGGAAGCTGGGCTGCGAAAAGACGTGGCCGCCGTGGAGGCCACCGTGGTGCCGCACCAACCGGCCGAACTGGTGGATGGCCCGGTCGGCGCCGGCCGGGTCGCGGCGCCACACGTCGTCGAACCGGGCCAGGTCGCACACGACGAAGCACACGTCACGCCGCGGTACGCCGGCACCATCGCCCCTGGCCCCGCCCGCGGCGCTGACGCCCCCAGTCCGGGCGAAGCCACCATAGTCGTCGCTCTTCGACGCCGTCGACGATGTGGCCGACGAGTGGGAGCTCTTGCTGCCGTGGGTGAGGGCGCCTCTAGCGGCCGCAGAGTAGGTGGTGCTACTGCTGGTGGCCGAACTGCCGTAGGTGCTCGACGAGAAGATGTTTCCGCTGCCGCTGCCGCTGCCGCCGCTGGCGGCGTTGCCGATCTTGACCAGCTCGTTCATGATGTCGAGGAAGACCGGCCGGACCGTGGTGTCGCGGTTCCAGCACATGACGGCCAGCTCGACGTAGAGCCGCTCGGCCTCGCTGAGGGCGTCCTGCCGCGGGAGCGCCGGGCGCAGGTCGTCGCGGATGACCGCCACCGCGATCTGCGGTGCGCTGTAGCCGTCGAAGGGCTTCTTGCGCGTGAGCACCTCCCACATGATCACGCCAAAGGCGTAGACGTCGGCCAGCACGAAGTCGGGGTCGGGCAGCTCCTGCAGCAGCTCGGGGGCCATCCACGGCACGCTGCCGGCCACCATGCCGTCCTTCTGGTTGTCGGCGGCCTTGCGGCGGATCGAGTCCTTGAAGACCGTGAGGCCGAAGTCGGCCACCTTGACGTTCCACTTGGCGTCGAGCAGCAGGTTGAGCGACTTGAGGTCGCGGTGCGCGATGCCCGAGGAGTGGAGGAAGTGCATGCCCTTGGCCGCCTGGTACATGAGCTTCAGCTTGAGTGGCAGCGGGATCTCGCTCACCAGCTCGTTGTGCAGCAACTGTGCACGGTCGTTAATGAAAATGAAAATGAAAATAAAAATGAGGATGAAAATGATGAAAATGAAAACGAAAAAGAAAGCAGCCAACAAGGCGCCGGCGCGAGGGTTGGGCTGGGCGAACGTACGTCGTAGAGCGAGCCGAGCGCCATGTACTCCATGACGATGCACATGAGAGGCGGTTTGGTCGAGGCGGCCATGAACAGGACGGTGTTGGGGTGCCGCAACCGGCTCATGATGGCGGTCTCCTCCTGGAACGACTTGCGCATGTCGCGCGTGATGTGTTCCGCGCTGATGGTCTTCACCGCCACCTCGGTGCCCTTCCACCGGCCTTTGTGCACCTCGCCGTACCCTGTGGATTATTGCACACGACACGCGACACAATGAGTGACTGCACTGAGTTGTTGTTGTTCAGTTGATGGGAAGGCAACTGTACCTCCGCGACCGAGAAGGTCCGTGATCTCGAGCTCCGCGAAGTCGATCATCCACTCCTGCTCCTGCGGCCGCTTGCGCATGGAGGCCAGCACGGCGGTAACGATGATCGCCAGCAGGAGTACACAGAGGCCGCCGACCGCCGCGCCCACGACGATGCCGGCGATGGCACCGCCGGTGAGCCCATCCGACGAGCCCGACGACGACGACTGCGCGTCGAGGCTGCACAGCGGGCCGGACGCGCCCGCGGCAGTGCACTGGCATATGCCCATCACGCACGCGCCGTTGCCGCTGCAGAGCTGGCCGTCTGGTGCGACGCAGGTGCGCAGGGTGAGGCTGGTCGCGTTGAGGCGACCTCCGTCGACGTTCGTGAGGGGCTTCTGGCCGAGCGAGGTGATCCAGATGGTGCCGCTGGTCTTGCCGGTGGACTTGAGGTTGGTCAGGTTGTCGCGGATCATCGTGTAGCCGTCGCCACCGATGCCGGAGAGCCACGAGAAGGAGACGATGAGGTACTCGCGGGCCTTGTCGATCGCTTCCCACACGCCGGGCGAGGTCACGATCTCGATGTGCACCACGCGCCAGCCGACCTGCTCGTGCGGGTTGTAGAGCACGCGCATGCCCGACACCTGCAGGAAGCGGCCGATGCCCTGGTTGATGTTGAGCGAGGTGTTGGTCACCAGCAGGAGCGAGTTCTCCATGGCCGACCACAGGTGGTCGCCACGCAGGTTGTAGGTCCGCAGCTCGCTGTTCTGGAACGGCAGGGCCGTGCGCAGAGCGCCGAGGGTGATGTTGCCGGCCGGGATCGCGGCGTACATGGAGCCGCCGTTGTACAGGCCCACCTGCGCGCCCGTCGTCTCGCGCAGCACGTCGGTCGACCAGGAGCCCAGCGTGCACTCGCCGAACATGCAGTTGTTCTCGAAGCCCAGCGGCACGGTGGTCGAGCCCACGATCAGGTCCGAAGCGTTGTCGACGACCACCTGGCGCACGAGTATGTCCTCCTGCATGTCGGTGTCGATGGGCGACGCGTCGTCCAGGAGTATGGGCGCGCCGCTCCACTCCTGATCACGCCCCAGTCGTCGAAGACCAGGTTGAGCCGCCCCAGGAACTTGCCGTTGTTGATGCCCGTGCCGACGACCAGCACCGGCTGCCAGGGCAGCTGGCGCACCGTGGGGTACGGCCCAGCCGACGGGCTCGAGGTGCCGGTGAGGTTCGTGCCGTAGAGCTCCGAGACGACGATGATGACGTCAATGCCGGGCACCTCCTCGAGGATGGCGTCGACCACGTTGGGGCCGCTCACGGAGGCCACGATCTTGTTGATGCCCTGGTTTTGCAGCTGAGCGACCACGCTGCGCAGGGCCGTGAGCTCCACGGTCGAGTTGATCAGGCCCGGGCTGCCGAACATGTCGTTGACCCCGACCGCCATGGTGCCCACGAAGGCCACGCGCGCGTTGGGCGCACCGCTCCCGTCGGCGTCGATGATGGCGTAGGGCTGGACCTGCGACCCGCCCCCGAGCTCGACGAAGCGCGTGTCGTTGTTGAGGTTGACGACGTTGGACGACACCAGCTGCGTCGTGGGGGCCAAAATGCGGGAGAAGTTGGCGACGGCCGTCACCAGCGACGCGAAGTCGTGCACCTCGAGCTTGACGGCGTCGTAGGCCATGGCCGAGTAGTAGGTGCCGATAATCTCCGAGCTGAAGGAGAGGTAGTAGAGCGAGCCCATTAGCGCGTTGCCGGCGTCGACTAGGACCACGTTGGCCCCCTCGTCCCGCACGGCCTTCACCACTCCGCTGCGCCGGGCCAACCCGCCGACACACGCCGAGCCGGCCGTGACGGGCTGGTAGTAGGGGGTCGTGTTGGTCGGCTTGCACGGGTTATTCCCGCTGTCCTGGGGCACCACGGCGCCGTAATTGTCCTGTGAATGTAGGAGCGTGACGTTGAAGTCCGCGCTGCACGGGCGGAGAAGGAGGGCGAGCAGCGCGAAGATGACCACGAACACACCCGCGAGACGAGCCGTCGCTGACGCAGGAGAGGTGCGCGGCTGGGCCATGTGGTGGCTTGCTTGGTGGCTAGCTGTGGTGTGGTGTGGGGGGAGGAAGCGAACGACGAAATGGTTGTGGCGGTGTCGACGCCGCCCCGTCCGACCTCATCATGATCACGGTGCGATAGCAGCAGGCGCTGGCGGCTATTCCTGACCACCATCATCTACACCAAAAAAGAGTGCGGGTAAGGCGGAGGCCAATCAGTGGACGCCCCGTGGTCTCAAACTAGTTCGGGCCAATCAGCGCAACATACCTGTGCCGCTTTTATGGGTCCCATCGCAAAGTGCAACCGTTGAGCGCTCTGAGTGGCTGGCCGGTTATGGTCAGAGGAGAGGGGAGCTCTGCGGCCTTGGCGCAAAGGCGCACGTTGAGGCCAACGACAGGCGCACCGTCACCGCCATGTTCGCCCTCCCCCCTCGGTGTCGCTGGGCCTTTGAGAAAGGTAGGGAAAATCAGATTTGCACACAAAGTTTTGAGGCAACAAGAGAGGGCACCACAACACTTTCGAGGACTGGCCAACGTCCTTGAATTAAGGCTCGTTATCCGATTTGTACAAACACCCACAAAAGAATTTGCGATTCTTTGCAAATCAAATCGAGCAATTGCGATTTGTACAAACACCCACAAAAGAATTTGCGATTCTTTGCAAATCAAATCGAGCAATTCTTGTGTACAATTTCGCTGTCAGTGCCGTATGCGGGTAGCGAGGGGGGGGGCAGTAACCTTGGTGCAGGTCCATGCGGGAGCACCGCGGGTTGGTGGCCGCCAGGCAGCACGCTGAGTGGTGAGCTATTTTGCTTCTTCTTTGGTATTCAAGTCACTGCAACATGGGCGGCAACCAATGGGCAACTCGGCGCTGACCCAAGCACAAAGCTCAGTGTGACTCCGGCCCCTCCGACGCCCGCATTCACTCTCTTTCTTCTCAGCTGCCACCAACACCGCTTCTTCCTAACCAACCTGTCCTGTATGGCCCTCACGATGCTCGTAGCCGCGGCTGTTGCTGCCTGCCTCCTTGTTTTCCTGCTGATGCTCAACCGCACCAGAGCCCAGGTAAGTCCCCTTCTCCTCGGTCTTCATCAAAGCAAGGTTGTACGAGGCTCACTCCCAAAGAAGAAGCAGGCCTCTTCTCTGCTAAGAGAGCCGCCCAACGCCACTGCAGGGCTGCCTGTCGTGGGACCGCTGATTGCGTTCTCCACCACCCCACGACAATTCCTTACTCACGCCTACAAGGAGGTACTCGCCCCCCCCCTCCCCTAGTACCCCATTCAGTTTGGGAGGGCTCATAAGTCCAGAGCCGTGTGTCCTTTGGCTAACCACACAGCCTAACCCTCGTTCTCCGACCATGGTAGCTGGGTCAAACGTTCACGTTGGACCTGCTGGTCTCGAAGATAACCGTCATCATGGGCCGCGAGGGAAGCAAGCAGTTCTTTGAGGTCCCTGACCAAGTGCTCGACTTCAATAAGTAAGTGCTTAGTTCCTCCATTTGAGGGCTGGGTTGTGTGTTATTCTGTGGTGTTTGCGAAGGGCTAACCACACACGTGCCGTTCCATTTCCCTAAAAGGGCCATCGCTGTTGTTGCGCAAAACGTGCTCGGCACGAAGGGCTTCGCCGACAGCGAGTGGCTCGCCAAGTCGCCCGGCTACGTGGCCCAGGTGGGTGGTCATGCCTAGCACCGGTGCACCAGTGATTACACGGAACAATTTACACTGACCCGAATCACATGCGTGTTGCTGTGGCTTGGGTCCTCAGGGCTTCATGCGTCACGACAAGCTCAACAACTACAGCCTGGTTATCCAGGAGGAGGTTACCAAGCACATGCAGCAGTGGTACGCCCAACCTACACTGACCACCTCTTCAATTGTATGTATCGAGGTGGCCTGATTCATCGCCATCAATCCCGCCAGGTTCAAGGAGGAGAAGGTGGACATCTTCGAGGTCATGTCGCACTTGGTCACGTGCATCAACATCCGGTGTATTCTGGGCGAAAAGGCCTACAAGGACCACGCCGACGAGATCTCCCGCATCTACTTCCAGCTGGAGAACAACGGTATGGACTCTCCGCTCTGCGCTTCAATACCACCATCACATATCTTCACGAATTGCTTGCGGCCTGGGTGACGCACTGCAGCCGTGAACACGTTTTCGATGATGTTTCCCAACCTGCCGAGTCCCACCAAGATCAAGAACGAGAAGGCCAGGGAAAGACTGGTCGAAATCATCACCAATCTTCTCACTTCGGACGAAGGAAAGGTACAGCTGCCTCGACCTCAGGTGCCTCCCGCCCGTGCGTGCGGCGCTCACTTCCTCGTTCTGTTACATTAAACAGGAGGCCAAGGACTACGTGGCCATGATCTACCAGAGCGAAGGCGACAACCATGCCATCATCAACTACGTCGTGCATGGCCTCGGCCTCATGTTCGGCGCTCACACCAACACTGGTACTATTGTGATCTTGTCCTGGTACCATTTTCACAGTTGGCCTATTCTGATCCTCTGTATCATTTGTGGCGTCGACGCTCAGCTGGCACGTTGGGCTGGGTCACTGCTGAATGGGCCAACGACAAGGCTCTGAGGTGCGACACAGAGGGTGACTTGTCATGTTATCCTCCATCACCGGTCACTCACGCCTGGTCGCGCTTTCTGCAGGGATAAGGCAAGGAAGGAGCAGGAGCAGCTCGCCGCCGAATTGGGCGAGGAGGCCGAGCAGATGTCGTCCAAGTTCATCTCCCAACTGAACTACATGGACGCCTGCATGAAGGAGAGCGTGCGCAAGTACAGCACGCTCCTGCTGGTCCGATTGGCCATGCAGGACGTCTGCTTCACCACTGCTGATGGCCAAGAGTTCCTCCTCCCCCAGGGTACGCTCCCGCACACCAGAGACTGACGTACAAGGAGAATGCAGGGTCGTGGAATGAACTCACGCTTTCTCTTTCTTCTTTTACAGGCCGCACAGTGGCATTTTCCCCATTCCTGACGCATTACAACGAGGAAATCTACCCGGACCCCTCCCGCTATGACCCCGAGAGGTTCACCGACCTCGAGAGGAAGCTATTCCTCACCAGCAACCGCCATTTCGTCCAGTTTGGTGCTGGTGTACACAAGTGCCCGGTACATCACATCCCTACATTCTCTCATCGCAATGATGATTGTGTGCCAGCGAGGAGAGGTGATGAGGTAAGGCATCAGTGGTTACTGACGGCGCTCTCATCATCTTGGCCATCAGGGCGAGCGGTTTGCCAATCTGGTCATCAAGTCCACGCTTTCCCTGGTTCTCCGTTCCAGCCAGTTTGAGCTCGTAGGCGCTGAACTCCAGCCGCCTGACTATCAGAAACAAGCTGGGACACCAAGCCCTGGTACGCACCATTTCTGTCCTATTGTGTTGGTTCTCTCTGACTCACCCTGCCTTCTTGCTACAACGCTTTGCAGTCGCTCCGATCTGGGTGCGATTCCGCCCTACCACTACCGTGTAAGTAGGTTTTGGTGTCGCTCTCATTTCGTCACGCCGCCACTGTCGTTTGCCAGAAGCCAAAACGAAAAATTAGAACTTTAAATTGTTGTTTGAGAGTTTCCGAAAAATTACAGCGAAATGGACAACGGCGGCAGAGTTGTACACTTTTCAACTTCAGGCCTGCTACACGACCGCAGCATTAAACGTTGCCGTGGGGCCGTTTGTCCTCACGCTTGCCTCTTGCCCCACCCCCAACTCGCAGCACCCATAAGGTCGTGAATCTGCAGGTACGTCTCTATATTACCCCCCCCCCGCTACTTGATGCTTTTTCATTTTTACTGTGCTACTTGGGATAGAGTCGGTGCGTACTACCTGGTTGATATTTTTTTTAAAAAATGACAAAATTGTTTTTACTTTTATTAATCTCATTGTCGTTTTGATTGTTCGGCCTTAGGTCGGCAGTCTGCTGTGGTGTGCGAAGGGTTGAGACACAAATGGGCAACGAGCACTCGAAGCCGCGCCTACGGCGGCGCTCTACGGTCGGCAGCAACGAGCACCAGGGCAAGCAGGCACGGCACCGGCAAAGGCGTCAACAGCACCGCGAAAGCGGTGCCCTGTTAGAGGAGGGCTGGGTCATCTTGGACAACGGCGGCAAAGGCCTCAACGACGGCAACGACAGCGTCATCATCAGCGTGGCCGCCCTGGAGCCTCTCGGTGGCGATGGCAGTGGTGCCGAGGAGAGCGAAGAGCACCGAGCCGAGCCGAGCCCGAACAAGGAGAAAGGAAAAGAAAAGGAGAAGGCCAAGGAGAATCGACGTTCTGGCGATGAAGGAGACGCCGGCGGTGTGGGACACAACGATGGCGACGACTTCATCGCTGTGGGAGGTGACGATGTGGGAAGCAACAGCGCGGCGGAGAGGAAGGCCAAGGAGCGGAAGGAGGGAGCCAAGGCGAAGAAAGGACACAAGAAAGGCAAGAAGAAAGAGCACAAAGAGCACAGAAAGGAAAAGAAGAGCAAGAAGGTGGTCACCACGACGCCGAGAGCGAGTCGCGATGTCGCCGCGGCAGATATCATGCCGGACCACCGCGGTGGCGTTGAGGGCGAGGTGCACAGAGAGTACGACGACCTCCCAGAGCTCGTGGCAGAGTTCGACGACAACGATGCCGACCGGCTTGGCGACGCTGCAGCGGTGTCTATTGAAGAGGAGAAGAAAGAAGAGCAGAAGAAGAAGAAGAAGAAGAAGGAAAAAGAAAAGGAGAAGGAACACGATGAGTTCGACATCGTGAGCGAAGAGGAAAAGAGGAGCGAAGAAGAGAAGGAGTCTGCAGGCTTGGAGCTACTCGTGCCCTCTCCTCTCGCGCCCGGCCAGCACGATCCCCTCGCGGCCACCGACGAAGACGACGAGCTAAAGAAGGGAGCCGAGAACATGGACGAATCCTTCATCGAACGCTACCTCGCTCAACTCGTCGAGCCGAGCCCGGACCGAGCCGCGAAGGAGGAACAGAAGGAGGAACGCGCCTGCCTCTCCTGTGACCGACACTTTCCCGCTTCTTCTCCGGTATGTGGACACGCTCCGCGTGTGCGTGTGTGCGGTGTTCCGTGTTCCACTGTGCGTGTGGCTTGGTGCGTGTGCGTGTGCGTGTGTTTGCCGATATGTTACTCACGCCAACTCCAAATGTGTGATCTTCGATGCGGGCATCAGGCGTTCTATCCGCTGGCGAATTGTGTGCATGCCTACTGTATAGATTGCCTCTACAATCACCTCGAGCAGCAGTTGATTCGCATGGAGGCGGAGAGGGACGACGAGCCGTGCGTCGGAAAGGCCAAGGAGCTCGAGGCCGACGTCGTCTCCGACGATTGGATGGTCGCCCCCAAGCAGCAACG